ACTTAAAATTGTCTGAAAAACTCGTGAGCATCATCCATCCTGGGTATAGCCTCTGGAAGACTTCTGGCTGCCCAAGGTGTGCCTGATGAAGGCCTTTAATAAATACCTGCTTTTTCCCTCTTAATCTTGTCTAGCCTCTGTTCTAGGTGGCTACTCCAAGGCACCATCCCCAGCAGGATTCCCACTCTCCTGTTGTGACACTCTCCGAGCATCTCAGGAAGCCCCTCCAGCCTCAGCCATGCTGTGGGGCAGCTTCAGTCTGGAGGGTGGCAGGAATTTGTAGGTGAGACTTTCCATGCTTTTTCCCAATTGTTTGTGCTCTTTTGGATGCTGGGAGCCTTCTCTTCTTGTTTTCTTTTAGCATGTGACAAAAATTCCATCAAAATTTGCAGATGTTGAGCAGAACTTCCTCTATTGCCATTAGAAATATGGAAGCCTTTGATTTTATTTTTGTCTCTCTCTGGGGGTATTTGACAACCTTAACTTTTCTTCATTGCTCTGCCTCCCCACACCTGCAGTTCTTCTTTCCTTTGTTTCTCCTTCTTAGATAGGAGTGAAGAACATCCAAAATGCAGATTTTTCTCTTTTGAGGGAAACTGCAGTTGGGAAATGAAGCTTAAAGAGGTCCAAGGCCTTTTCCTGTTTCAGTTGCTTGACATCTGGGTCAATCCAGGTAAATGATTGACTCTTGCTGCAGCTTTGTTCCCCTCCCTCTGTCCTGGGCTGACCTTTCCTGTCCCCATGCCAGGGGCAGGCCTGCTCTCACACTGTGCTTCACTCCTGGCTGTTGGTTTCTGACAAGTCTTTTGTTTCATAGGAGTCCTCCTGCAGGTTACAAATAGGAAACAGCCACTGGGGTTCATTTTCAGTGGTGCTGAGGAATCCAGGAATTTTCAGAGGTCCTAGGAATCCAGGATCACCTGTGGGTGCTCAGCAGCTTCTCACATTAATTAGTAATCCAAGGTATGAGCCAGTCAGAGCTCCTCCATCCCATTAATCAGTTCTCATTTAAA